ATGGTCAATACATTCCAATCACTAGAAAAATAGCCCTAAACACAAGTTCTCATCATTTGAGACAGTAAAAAGAATTATTCCATTTCCAATATCATTCATTGTTCCTTGTACAGGGTTTAACAAACTTCGCTACACTAATATACCTGAAGCATTGGATGGACAAGCAAGGAAACCTGATGGCGAATGTCTGGCTGCACAGATTCCTTAATTTCCTGGAATGAGAAACAAAATTTCGTAACAGCAACAAGTTATATTTAAGGGTTTCCTAATTCAAAAAAGCAGTGCCAATAGTTAAAGACACATTTACGCGTAAGAGGCTCTATTTTAATCCTAAGATTCGTAATTTAACCAATAATAAGGGAGCTGAACTAGACTCTGCTCGGCTCCAGAAGAGCTCTTGCCGAAAAGAGCCAAAGAGCAAGATGAGCCAAAACATGGCTATCTGGCTCAGTTTGGCTGGTTGGCAGGGGTATGGAAATAATAGGTTAATAGCTTGAAGACTGAAGAGTAAAGAATACCTGAACCTTTGGATACATGTTTGTCATTGCACCTTTCAATCGTGTCACCTATCATGAGTAATGGGTCAAATTCTAGGAGTCAGAGATATGACATAAATGAGAGAAAAACGTTGACCATGAGTATTAGATTTTTTATCATCAAAATAGATGTGGAAATTACAAGCAAAATCTACTGTCCACACCAATAAATATAATTCACCTAATTGAAGTTTTAAATCCTTAAAACTAGATGGGATAATTTTGTAAAACACTGTGTCCCTCCATTTATCAGGAGGGGTTGGTTAGTAGAATCGACATCTTAATCTGATCACTTGTATGTTCGCATTGTTTATCACTGCTTCATGCACTTATATAATTGTGTAACTACCTTTTCATGGAGATACTTTGTTGTAATTGGATATGATGACCAAAAATGCTTCAACAACTCCTGGATTGGAGTCCAATGCTACAAAACAGTAAAGAAAACATCATGGAGTCACAAACCAGATATAACACTGAACTACTAATGTAAAATGTGTTGAGTCAAATAGTATATGTACACTCACATCATGGATACTGTCTTTAGTAACTTTTGGCAAACCATCCAAGACATTCTCATTCTGGTTCTTTCCAAGATAGGAGTCGGTCTTTGGTATATTCTTAATCATTTCGTTAAGAACCTAAAGACAACAGTGAGTTATGTTTTTCTGGATCAACATTCTGGTGAAGAAATATCATAATAATTAATAATTACAATAATAATACCTTAAAAGCAATTTCTGGATTTGTGATTGGTTTGCTTAACCCAGTCATTCTAATTTCGGATATATGGTCTCTTAGAGAACAATATGCTTCACTTGGGCTTGTGTTACATTTTAAAGTCTTTCCATCAGATGCAACATCTCCTAATGCTTTTAATGCATTGGCTTGCTGAGAATCAAAGTAGTCGACAGGATCCTGCGCACCAAAGCAATGACTCCATCTTTCAGATTTTCCTGTGTCATGTATGGTTCATCTGACAGATTTATCCTTGCAGTTAAGGGTCAAACCTTACCGTAATACAGAGGGGAGCAACTACAGGCTCTCGAGGGCCCTGAAGATCCTCAATCTCAGCCATAATTGACATCCTATTCGAGACATCTTTCTCCATATTCCCGTTGGACCTAGCATTAGACATCTCGACTGCAAAAGCACTGCAGATATTAGTTGCATAATTTCATTTTCATGATTCTAATAAGCATGGCATATAATAGTACCTATACATATGAAAATAATTGCATATGTACACACAAAGGCACGCACACACACACACACACACACACACACACAAATATATACAAAAAAAATAAAAACTGGGGTTCACTTTATAGCCAAGTTTAGCTAGCCCTTATTTTCAACTTTATTCTGTCAAAGAGCTCATTCAAGGAGGCAAGTCGGATGAGTTCAAGCTTGTATAGGTATATATGTATACACACGCACACAAACATATCAAAAAAAATAAAATGAACTTCACTTCATAGCCAAGTTTAGCTAGCCCTATTTCTTTAACTTTTTTATTCCACCAACTAGCTCATTCAAAAAAACAAGTCGGATGAGCTCAGCTTGTCTCGTACGAGCCCAAGTCCAACCCAGATTGCCAACTCGATATATGCAGTCAACCACAAGGGAAAGAAGAAGCCCCTCTCAACCTTGTTCTGTGCGGGCAATCGTTTCTGCCATGTCCCTTGGATCTCGAAGCTCATCTACCATGCACATGGTTTAGAACAAAAAAGTAGTTATCGATGCTGAACAATATACACAAAAAAGCCAGCTTGCTTGAAACAACCCACAAGTTTTTGTGAAACAGCGGTTCACAGATTCCAAAAGAATATAATTCATATAATACAAGGTGATTATATTGAATAAACGAGAAAGAAAATAAAAAAGAACAATACTACTAGAGCATAATAACAAATATCTAGTTAATCAAACAAGAACTGGTTACGAGTGCAGTCCTGAAGACCCCTCAAAAGCAGGTTTCCTGTTGAACATTTACTACAGCAGCAACCCATCAAACCAGAAGATACAGATGTAAAATGACACTCCTGATCAGGTTCACTTAGTTGTTGCATTGTCAAAAAGTTAACATGTTATTTAACTTCTTTAATAACCACTGTATAATACAGTTACACCATGTTTGATAGCAAGCTAATTGGATAAAATTAGATAGATGTTTTGACACAATTTAGAGAATTGGCATGTCTAATCCTCAAACGTCTAATTGAGTTAAGAAAAAAGAAAATTATTGGTCCAGATTCCAGATGTATAAAGGGCCAGATACAAAAGCATTTTGGTTATAGATTATTGCAAACGTGATTAAATTACAATTGTCTTGGAATTACAAAAAAATATTACAGTCCCACCGTAAAGTATATGTCATCAGTTTACATCAAATTTTGTTTACAAAGAAATTACTGATTAACTAATAGCATTATTTATTTATACGCTCAAATTAAATTTAATATATTTAAGCTTAGAACCTCAAGGAATTTGTAAATCTAATCATTTAAACTAATAAAAATCCAAATAATATTTTAGTTATTCATTAAACTCACCATTTGAATGTGTAGTTCAAAAAATCTAACAATAAAATTACACCAATGTCCTAATTTCTCATTTTTTCAGAACACCACCTAACACAATCACTATCTGTTAATACCCAAGGTTCTGAAAACCGAATCAATGTTAAACTGGTAAAACTAAAGGCAATTTATTCATCGTTCAATGTTAAAAGGTCTCAAATTAGAGGAATTGGTTTCAGTTCAAATAATGTAGAATGATAATGCGTTAGAATAAGTCACCTACTTATAGTTGTGAAGGATAAAGGGTTTTTGTTCAGCATCTGCCTTTGCTTCTCTCGGGTATTCTCTTTTACTTATTTTTCCGATTGACAGCATTAGCTTGTTATTTCTTCGATTAAACGGCATCTTTTAATTATTTTGTTATTTTGAAGTTCCTTTTTTTTCCCCTCAAATCAGGTGCTTTGTAGTTATGAAGCAGAAGAAATTTGTATCAGTTTTATCGATGATTTTCGGCATACTTAAGTTTTGTTAACTTTTAATTATTTCTGCAGCAAAAGTTTATATATATAAAGTCATATATTCTTTTGGGTCAGGCATAGACCAAAATACCTTCTGCAATACTTAGTAAATTTTTCCTATCCAGTACGGATTTAAAGTACGGGTTAAGTTTGCATTTTATAGGATATTCTCATCCCATTATGAGGTGTGTTTCAACACTCCATCATTCCACCTAATACATAGCAGTCGACACAATGCATTATCCAAATAATCATACCAAGTACACATGGGGCATATGGAAAACTTAATCAAAATTCTATGACCAATTAGATTTGTTATCTAATTTTGTGAAGTAAACAAGGCCGACATATTAAAGAATCCTATTAGAAGCATAGATACTTTATTAACTATGATAAAACTTAAACATAATCATAAGTATGTAAAAGGAAATATCTAGCAACTTTACCTTCCTGATCCCAATTGTTATATGGAGGTGTTGTATCAAGTAAAGACTTTAAGTGAATAAATAGTGTATATGGATAAAATATTTGTAAGGAAAGCATGCTACCTTAGCATTTTCCTAGTAAGTATGGTTCGCTTCTTATAAAACATAAGAAATAAAATGAAATCACTCTCGTTTATAGCATGCAACGCATTCACACTTTGTTCGAGAGAGTACAGAAAAGGACCCTCTGCCTATCGCAATCCTCAACTGGCTATTATAAACACATGTATTAATTTTGGTAATTGAACCAGTCTTGATATGCTAATATTTGATGAATTCTGGAGATAACAATCTAAATCTTGAATTAGAAGTATCACATGGAGAAGTTTTATCTATCCGTGGGATATTGCATAGGGACACACTACACAGTTCGACGTACCTACTATTCTTCCTTGAAGCACAACAGCAGCATGCTGATTGAGGTCTCGTGAGAAGTTTCTTCTGTATGGCTCGTATTGTGTCTCCAGATAATCCTTGCTCGCTTTGGGAAACAAGCCGCGATCCTAATTATACACAATAAGCTTCAATAATCAGCGAAGCATCATCAACCAAAACATGTAAATGCATCATTACAATGTGATTACAAAAAATGGATTCCAACAGAAGTACCGGGAGATGAATGTAATCATCGCCAAGATCAGCTTCCATGTCCAAAGTTGGATCAACACGTCTCAGCTGAAATCAGATGAATATTTTAATTTTAAACTGTAGAATTTCAGGTACACGATACACACACACATACACAAACTCTTTTAACGTGGGTTAATAACCTTTTTACGAGCTCCCTTTGTCAACATGTCATCTTTCTTCAGAAAGATAGCAAGTTCTTCATCTTCAGCAGCCTCAGCAGCAGCAGCAATTACATTCTTAGTGCTGTGGAGATATTCGGCTCTCGAGAATTTTGTCCAAAATTCCTTGTCTGACATCTGGATTGCAGAAAAATGTTGTACTCAATGGTGTTATTTCATTCTTTCTCGACTAGAAAGTAACATACCTTGTTTGGAACAAAATTCAAGTATGCTTGCCGGACAGCAGGTTTCTCAGCAAATATCTGTAGATAAAGTTTAAATATCACACATCGCTCACATTCTAAAGGAAGCAAATACTAAGAAGAACATGATCTACTAGTGCTGCTTTGTTGAGTGGATTAAGCTGATCCTTACTGATAGATGATGAGGCCCAGAAAAGAAAAGAAAAATAAAGAAAAATAAATAAATAAAGCCTATCAGCTTTCATCCAATCCTTTTAATGATCTCATGTCAGAATTTTTTTTACTTATTTACTATCTTTATCCATTGTAACAGGTATTTTCTTTGTATCGGTATACTTTTTTAGAGAAACAGCATGGGCAAATAACAAAAATGTTTATCTAATAAGATAATTTTTTATCATGTTCTATTTCATTGTCTAATCTAATATAATTTAATGAGTTGAGGCTTATCAAACATTGATTGTACTTATCCACTATCTCCAATCAGCTCAACCAAGCAAGCAAGCGCATAATCATGCAAAACTACCAACCTTGGTCATAAGATTTGAAGGAAATGTACCTGATGAATAATCTCTGGGGTCAAGTTGAATGTAACTCTGTTAGACTTACATATTGAAAAACAAAAACACGTCAATTAGCTTGTATGCAAACATAACACGTCAATTAGCTTGTATGCAAACATAACATACAAAGAAACTGCACTGTTTATTTCTCGTACCTGACCATCCGATAAGGGTTTGACAGTCCACATTTCATTCTTCAAGGCCATTTTCTGCTTTAGCCTACTTTTGTCATTATGCTTCTGCACTTTGTTTAAATATAACATGACTTGTGAAAAATATTTAGCAGCGAGGAAAAGGGATGAAGGGAAGGGAAAAGGAAATCACCTTGCCTAACATCGCTCGATTTAATATATTGAAAAAACAGGGGTGCCAGTAAGTAAACCAGCATGAAAGCATCAACTAATTCAATCCACTCAGAAAAAACTCATTGCAGTAAGAAAATACATACACGCACAACATACACACACACACACACATACATATATATATAAACAACAATTAACTCTGTATAGGCCTTAGGCCCTTAGCCTTGATTTGAAAGCAACATTATTAGATATGAAAGTATGAGTTTCTGAGCAGAGAACTTTAGCAACATTCAACACCATTAACAAATACACTCTGAGAAGCCAGAAATTTTAGCCAGTCAATCACTCAGCCTTTCTATTTTACTGGAAAGAGGTCAAAAACCATGGAACTGATTTCACCTTCAGTGGGAATGTCACAAGGAAACTCAATTTTCAATGTGGAGCGATTTTAGGGAATCATCCACGGATCCCCAAAAGTAGGATCATCAATACAAAGGAATTGGATGAAATATTTAGCACAAGAAAATTGAGTTTATCAGCATCTAAGATAAAAATACCATTGTCCATATTAGTATAAATTGAGTAGAAAATCCATCTCTTGAAGCATCCTCACTTTAACCAACAGAATAATAAATGTACTTGTATCACAAATCATCTAAGTTGAAACATTATGAACTTTTACATTCTTTAAACAAAAAGAGAGAAAAGACAATAGATCTTTTATATTCTAATATAGGGGAGGAATAATCCTCTGTTACGAATACCAAATAGCAAAGCATAAGGACTGCAGGAATTTAAATGCAAACAAATATAATTGATATTTTTTTTTTTCTTTAACTAATTACCTCAATAGTCAACAATTAAAATACTGTGAAAACGGGAGTATGCAGCTAACCTTCCTAGTGGCCCAAAATTCAGCCTCTGTCAGTATACCTCCACTTACGAATTTCTGGTGAAGCTTCCGCAATTCGCTGTGAGTTCAACCATAAAAATAACTTAAAAACACTTATTTCTGCATATATACTTATTTCCAAAAGAAAACACAAAGGAGGAACTCCATTATATGTTTGACAATGGAAAATGATCTGTTCAAAGTCTCGATAAACTAACTTGTGTCATTGATATCTCGAATGATAATATCATATAGACATGTATTTATTGATTGATTGTTTCTATACACTATGGCATAAATCATGATTAACACAAAAAGGAGTGGAAGAAGAAAGCCTTTCATATTACTTGTCCTCCTGAAGTAACTTGATTCGGTGCTCCAATTCCACTGTGCTAAGCTGTTCGTCCTGGGATGAAGGAGTAGGCTTTTCAAAGGTAACTTTTTCTCTTACTCCGTTTAATACAACAGCTGCAATTGTGTCCACATGTCACCACTTAAATCTCTTTAGTTCAACAAGAACATAAGGAATAACTAAATTAGTGGCCACTCACCCACAAATTCTCTGCAAACGTCACGATCAGAAAGATTGTCAAACTCAAATATAATGTCACCACCCTGGAAAGATAAGAAATGAACTAAAAATGTTAAAGATTCCAGGAAGCCATAAAATAATATCATATTCGATCTTCTTCGCTACAAGATCATTTAATAGAAATTGCGGACAGCAAAACTATGTAAATCAATTCAAACCTGGTCTTGATTAAGTTTAAGAAGCGCTGGTTTATTGGAACCCACCCTGTTAAATTGATGCCCTGAAAAAAATGGTCAAAAATTACCCTCACGATCGTAAACAAGAACGTTTTTGGGTATTGACATAGGAATGGAAAATCTTCATGGAAGAGCACCTTTAATTGTCCTAAACTCCACATTAAGAGTTTTAGATGAGGCTGGCTCATTTCCAGTAAAGGAAAACCTTTCCTTTGTCTGTAACAATCATAAGCATTGGATAAGTTCAATCGATAACAGCAGCATTTCGACACTTATAAAGACAGAGTAACATCACTATCCATTGATCACCGAGAAAGCAACTTAATTCTAAGAACAAAACAAAATATATATAAGAAAAAAAGCATTGACGGCAGACATTTACCAAGCTAAATTATCAAAACAAATTCTTCTCGATTTAAATTACCACTCTAAAGACTCCGGGAACTCCCGGGCTGTTGACAGAAGACTTCAACTTGGCACGCTTCACTAGCTGCCCATCCGCCATAGCAAGCAAATACAACAGGTCTATGCAAAAGACTAACGGAACAACAGATTATAGATTATGTAAGAAATTTAACGGGTATATCCATAACTTTTAGGCGGAATTGAATAAACCCTAAGCATGTAATTCTATCAATTCATAGAACATGGATCTTTGCATAAATTAAATTGCACATAAAACTTACAAGAACCCAGCTATAGTCCTTCCCTGTTCATCTATGATGTTGATCTTTCTCCAATCTCCAATCCTCTTCCTCCAATCTCCAATGATGGATTTGTCTTTCCCTATGAATTGTTTCTCTCTCCCTCGTCTCTCGTCTTTCCATAAAGCCCTTGATGTTGAGAACTTTATTTGGAGAACTTTATTTCGTATGAGATGGGAGAGAGGGGTATGTAGTATATATAGGAGGAGGAGACTTAGAATCCTAATCATACTACCATTCCCCATGTTCTAACTTAACTTACTGTCCAAGTCAAACATCACACATTGGACTCTTTAATATTAGAACATTAAATAATCTATTAAATACATATTCATCTTTAATAAAGTTTGACTATTAATTCAATTAGGTTTAACTAATTATATGGTCCACAATAATAGAATAATATAAAATATTATTACATTCTCCCACTTGGACCATATAGTGTCGAAACCCAAAGAACTACTTTAAGCGCGCACCTTTCATCAAACTTATAATTGAATACATATATCTATAAGTTTAAAATTAAAATAGAAATTAACCGAGTCATGGCGGTCACAAGTCTTCGAGCAACATGATCCCTTCCATGTACCACAAATTATTTCTAATTCAACTTTATTTTAATATGGAACAAACTATTCGTACCATAACCATAGGCCATCTAACTTTTATGTATATACTATAAAATCAAAAAATCCATAATGATGGTATTATATGTGAAGAATAAAACATCTTTAATCGAATTCAATAAGTGTCAAAACCATTAATTGAGCAATTCCATTCAGTATCGATCAGTCCAACAAGGCCCCATTCGTTAATCCCTATTTTCTTTATATGCCTTCCAAAGGCTATAGGGAATAACCCTTTAATGGATCCACTTTCATGCAATTATTACTAAAATACTCAAATGACACTTTAATTCTTCACTTATATTTTACGACCAAGTATTTCAATTTTATGTGATTCACACCCTTTGAATACTTGTCATTCCTTGAAATATTATTGCTACAAAACTACGTTAATTCTTAGCGCCTTGGACAAGATGTCGACATTTCCAAGTCCTAAGATAAAGCATCGTAGCCCTAATTTTGACTTGTGGCCTCAAAGCATACCACAAACTCAAACTTAAGTGGAAGTCACAATGATGGACTTTGTTACACTTTTCCATAATTTTGCTCCTTTAGACATTATGAGCAAAAATCTGAATCCGAGTATCCAATTATAAAAATACTTTGGATCTTCTTTAAGTTAGCATGTGTTCTTTAATGCCTTGTACATACTTTAGAAATTCTTTGCAGCATTTAAATAATCATTTAGGGATTACAATTATATTTGTTTAATGTATACCAACAACAAATATGTTATCAAACCAAATACAGGTTCGTCTCGCTTAAGACTCCTAATCATTTATATCTAAGGAATTTTCTCCATCACTTTTCATTCCATTTCGCCTTCGGACATTTATTTAAACTAAATATGTCCCTTTTATGAATTGGAATTATACGGAACAACCATCCATTACCTCTCAAATAAAACTTTAATGGGATAAACTTTTAGTCCTAGTGATATATTCCAGAATATTTCTATTCCAATTACCAAGCACGTTTCATCCACATTCTTTATTTCATAATTTTCAGAGAGATAATACTTTAATTCGTGCAACATGTTCACATTATTAGCAACTATAAATATGTTATCGACATACGGAACTAAATTAACAAATCTACTCCCACTAACCTTAATATAGATACACCGGTCTACAGTATTCTCTATAAAACCATAAGCAGTGATGATATCATTAAACTTAAGATACCATTGACGAGAGACTTGTTTTAGTCAATATATCGATCTATTCAACTTACACACTAACATTTCATTCTTGTGATCTCAAAAACTTTTAATTAGTTCATGTAGATCTCCTTTTAAGTTTATCATTTAGAAGGTGATCTTTATGTCCATTTGATAAAGCTCAACATCATACAGAGCCACTATCACCATTACAATTCTCAAGGAATCATTCTTAAAAACGAGAGAGAATGTTTCCTTGTAGTCAATGCCTTCCTTTTGGATGTAACATTGAAGTCTAGATTTATACCTTTCGATATTACCTTTAGAGTCATGTTTGGTTTTCTAGAAAACCCATTTACACGCGACCCTTTTAGACCCTTCAGGTAATTCTACTAAATCCCAGACTTTATTGTCATCCATTGACTGTAATTATTCTTCATGGCATTGGCAAACTTTTCCATAATTTTTACTTTTAATGACTTGAGATTCATCAACCAAAGGTTGTTCTATAATTATGATTGCTTGTGATGATTCATTATCAAGTAAGTTTGGATCATTGTGTTATTCATCTAAGTTATATGACAGTAATGTAACTAGAAGAATAACAACAACTAATGGACTCTCAGGTTTGGACTGTTCAACCCGAGTTTCTTTGACATCCAAACTTTGCGATTCTAAACTCCCACTGATTTGATCATTTTCAATGAATCGAGGATTTTCGCAATCAACTATTCTCGTACTATGGTTAGGGCCATAAAACATATATCCTTTAGAACCTTCCGGATAGCCAATGAATAACCACTGGTTGTCTTAGGATTAAGTTTCTTTTCATGTGGATTATGTATTTTTACTTCTGCTTGACACCCCCAAATATGAAGATGCCTCAAACTAGGTTTTCTACCCTTCCATAGTTCATAAGGTATTTTATGAACTACTTTAATAGAAACCCAATTTACCTCATATGCAGCAATCTTTAACACACGCATCCACATAGAAAACGTTAATGTTGAATTACTCAACACTCCTAACCATACCCTTTTAAGTACGATTTATCCCCTCAACAACGCCATTATGTTGAGGAGTCACAATTATAGTGTATTGCACACAAATATTTCAAATCTCAAGAAACTTTGCAAATGGACTAAGACATTATCCTCTTTCATTGAACTGACAATAATATTCACCAATCTTGGGAGATCTCACAACAATTACTTATTTATCTAACTACCTTTCCATCTCATCATTGTATATCTTTGGATAGTCCAATGATTGAGTCATTTCATGTAGTAGATAAATATAACCATAACGTGAGAAATCATTTATAATGGTGTTTAAATACTTACATCATCCCATGAAGGGATGTCGAATAGACCACAAAAAATTAGTGTAAATAAGTTATAAGTTTTAGTGCTTCTCTTTGGCAAATCTCTTTAATGTATGTCTAGTTTGTTTTTCTTTAATTCACTCTATACATACATCTTGATCACTAAAATCCAAATGAGAAATAGTTTCCTTATTCACCATTCTCAAAACTTTTCTTCGGATATGTGACCATAATCTTTAATGCCATAATAAGAAGTTCCACATAATCAAGCCACCAAGTATTATTGGGAATCTTTTATAAATTTGATTCACAACATACAATAATTAATGTATATCTTTCTTTTCGAATCAAGATTTTATTTCGGGCAATCTTTCATGAGGTGGCCTAACTTTTTACAGTAATAACACCTCATTTCTTTAATGATTGGACCTGCAAAAACTTTAAGTAAGTCAATCTTCTCATATTTGCCTTTGTTTCCCATTTCATCTTACTATTATTGGCTCTTACATGAGATATAAAGTGTATCGACTCTTGTTTCATCTCTTTTATTCTCACCTCTTCCTGCACCAGCATAGCCTCAATTTCCTTATAGTCCCATTTTATCTTTAATGGTGTTATAGTTCACCTAGGATTGGCCAAACTCGACAGGTAGGGAGTTCATGATGAATAAAACCATAAATGAGTCTACAAAATTCATTCTCGTGTTTATAAGTTTAGCTTATATATTGAACATGTTAAACACGATACCATGGATGGTACGAAATTAGAACTTTTATAGTGGTGAGTTCGATCATGAAACTTTCCATAATTTTAAATGGAGATAGTTCCTCGATTCTATTTAGGAATTCTTTTGTATTATTAGCCTTAATGTTATCCGTCTTGATTAAATTCATAAAATTCAAACACAACCTATTTGATCGCTCGCATACCCTACGGAGAGTTACCTCTACTTCGGAGCTCTCACCAATAATGGTTGTGGGCACTTCATCAGTAATTAGAGTATATCCAAATTCAGTGCACCTAATTGAAAATGTATATGCTCAGACCATTCATTGAAGTTCAGCCCATTGAATTTTTCAATAATAATACTTGACGGAAAAATTAAATTTAAACACTGCAAACTTTGATACATGCTATTTGATTAAGCTTTGAGAGAAAATTAATGGATTCAGAAATCTTTTAAATTATATATTTAAGTATACCTTTGGGCAAATACTTAAATATATAATATACTTGATTGATGCCTAAGAAGAAAGATCTTTAATAGAAATTATAGGGTCTTGTGATTAATTAGCGGTTATCTTTGGACAAACACGCTAATTAACCTTACTTTAATTATAATTTCCCTTTTATATATAAATCCTTGATAGAGATTATACAAACTTGAGTCAACTAGCGGTTATCTTTGGACAAACACGCTAATTAACATCACTTTAAGTATAACTTCTCTTTTAAATATTAATCCTTAATAGAAATTATATAATTCTGATCAATTAGAGGTTATCTTTGGACAAACACACCAATTGACCTACTCTAATTATAATTTCTCTTTTAGTTGTCACAAACTATAAACACATGGCCCACCTTTGGGTGTCCTCCTGGTTCAATTATTCAAATATCATAATTTAAGAGACTTTAATAAGACATCCTTTTATATTTGAATAATCGATACTTCTATCTAATGAAATTATC